ATCTCTTTGTTATCATTAGTATAAACTGTCATAAATGGCCTCTTAAAACTGTCTTTGATATATCTTATAGGTCCTGGTAAGTTGTGTTTTAATCTAGGATTCATAGCACCCCAATTTTATTCAGTGACTTGCTAATCATTCAAGACTGTACTGTTTGAGGAAATGGAAAAAGCTCAGAGGATAAAGTTCTTGTCCTGCAAGAATAAAGGCTGGAGTTAAGATGGCACAACCTACCTAAAACTTGGCAAGTTTGTCAGCTACCTATATCCTAGTACTGGAAAGGTAGAGGCAAAGATCCTCAAGAATAGTTATCTAGGCAATATTGACAAACTCTGAGTTCACCAAGAGACTGTCTCAATAAGTAATGTAAAGAATGATTGAGAAAGACACCTGTTATTAATAATAGGCCCTTATACACACAGACATTTACATGAACCTGCACGTGTATATGTACACATACATGCAATCAAACTCCCATGGACACTCTACAAACACACACACACATTTTAAAAATTCTTTATTTTTCAATATTTACATAATTGCGTAGTTTTTGAGTTTTCTCTTGCAATTCACTCCTACTTTTTTGCTTTCATTAGGTAAATGACAGTAAATTATTTGAGTATTTTTACATTTAGTATGCCTAAAATATAATCTCAGAAAAGTTCCATAAGTAGTTGAGAAGAATGTGCACTCAGTAGCTCTTACAGAAGAGAAAGTGAAAAACACACTTGAACACATTGGCACTGAAGACCACTTCCTAAATATAACCCCAGCAACACAGACACTGAGAGAAAGTAATAAATGGGACCTCCTGAAACTGAAAAGCTTCTGTAAAGCAGAGGACATAGTCAACAAGACAAAATGACAGCCTACAGAGTAGGAAAAGATCTTCACCAACCCCACATCAGACAGAGGTCTGATCTCCAAAATATACAAAGAACTAAAAAAATTGGTCACCAAAAGAACACATAATCCAATAAAAAAATGGAGTACAGTGTAGAGAGCTGCGTAGTGCTGCGCCTTAAAGATGGCGCTTTTTTTCCGCCTTCTACCTCCCCGATGGTGAGTGCTCTTGGTCACAAACAATTCCATATATGGCTAAAGCTAAGGATCTGGCTTGCTTCTGCGTTTCTGGACCTATCTGCATTTCCCACGTAGCATGCTGGGGTTGCCTACCCAGAGACTATTTAAGCTGTGGGCTGGCTTTCCCCTGAGTCAGAAGATTGTTCAAGGTTCCTGAATAAACTGCAGTGAGAAGAGTAAAGTGTTGCGTCTTCTTTGCTGGTCGAAGTGGACGCAACAGTACAGAGAACTCTCAACAGAGGAATCTAAAATGGCTGAAAGACATTTAAGGAAATGTTTAACACCCCCAGTTATCAGAGAAATTCAAATCAAAACAACTCTGAGATTTCATCTTACACTTTTATGAATGGCCAAGATCAAAAACACTGATGACAACTTATGCTGGAGAGGTTGTGGGGAAAAGGAACACATTCTGCATTATTGGTGGGAATGCAAGCTGGTATAATCCCTTTGGATGTCAGTGTGGTGATTTCTCAGAAAATTAGGAAACAACCTTCCTCAAGACCCAGGAATACCACTTTTGGGTATATATCCAAAGGATACTCAATTGTGCCACAAGGACATAAGCTCAACCATGTTCATAGAAGCTTTGTTTGACATAGCCAGAACCTGGGAACAACTAAATGCTCCTTGACTGAAGAATGGATAAGGAAAATGTGGTACATTTACACAATGGAGTACTACACAGCAGAGAAAATAATGACAGCTTGAATTTTGCAGAAAAATGGATGAAACTATAAAATATTATTTTGAGTGAGGCAACCCAGACACAGAAAGACAATTATCACATGTACTCATCTATAGGTGGCTTTTAAACATAAAACAAAGAAAATCAGCCTACAAACCTTAGTCCCAGAGAACTAAGACAACAATTAGGACTCTAAGAGAGACTCACATAGATCTAATCTACATGGGAAGTAGAAAGTAGAAAAATACAAGATCTCCTGGGTAAATTGGGAGCATGGGGACCTTGTTGGGGGGTTCAAGGGGGGGAGGGAAGAGGCAGGGAGGGGAGCAGAGAACAAAAATGTAGAGCTCCATAAAAATCAATAAAATTTGAAAAGTTAACTTTATTGAATAGAGTAATTTTGATTGGCAGTTAAGGTCTTTCAAGGCTTCAAATACTTAATTCCATGATTTTTCTGGGCTTTAGCATTTCCAATATAAATTATATGATTGGAAATGGGTTAAGTTTATGTAGTCAGTTTACCAAATGTCTCCTTTAATTTCTTAGTTGTTTCTGCAATTTACTACAGTTGCTTTATAAAATTATTGCTTATCAAATAATTTTTAAAATTATTACTTATCAAATCCTTTTTAAACTTTTTAAAATTAAAATACATTTTTCATACAATATACTCTAATTATGACTTCTCCTCCCCCAACTTCTCCCAGTTCATTCCCAACTCCCTTTTCATCCAAGTCCACACACTTTCTGCTCTTGTTAGAAAACAAACAGATATCTAAGAAATACTAATAAAACATAAGATAAAAAAGAGAAGAATAAATTAGAAAAAGACAAAAACACCAAGAAAGGAAAAGAGGCAAAGAAAAGACACGAGAAATGCATATAGACATAGAAACATACATATTTGCACACACAGGAATCTCATAAAAACATAAAACCAAAGTATATAGAATATAAGTATTCTATCTATCTATCTATCTATAGATATAAACATACAAGGATCTATAAGGTTTAAAAAATGTCAAAGTTAACATTTATGAGACAAAGAACCTAAAAAGATGCTGTTTGGTTCCTTTTGTGTTGGCCATCTCCTTTTGGGCATGTGTCGACACTTAAGGCTATTTTGTGTCCTTAGTGGACTCCCTAGAAGAGAGACTGTGTTTCCATTTGCTAGTGCCTATCAATTATCTTGTATGTCGAAGACTTTGATTCCTTGGCATCCTCCATGTACCCTGGCTCTTACACTGTTTCTGCCTTCTTTTCTACAGAGTTTCCTGAGACCTGAGGTTAAAAATTTGATGGAGATATCTCTTTCAGGGCTAAGTGTTCCAAGGTCTCCCACTCTCTGCATCTTGTCTAGCTGTGGGTCTCTGTATTTGTTTCCATCTGCTGCTGGAGAAGCCTCTCTGATGAGGGCTGAGAAAAGCACAGATCTATGAGAGTAGTTGAATGCCATTAGAAACCATTTAATTGTTATGATTCTTTTGCAGAACATTAGTATTTGGTTTTCCCCTGAATCTCTGTGCTCTCAATTTCTTGCCTATCCAAGTAGTGTTGGGAATGGGTTCCATCTCAGTCAGATATTTGTTGGTTACTCCCACAAGATTTGTACCACTTAATCATAATTTTGATTGATTTCATTTCATAGATGATTTATTTTTGTTTTGTTGTGGATCACTAGAAAAAACACACATATAAATGCCCCCCAAGGGCTAGAGAGATGGCTTAGCATTTAAGAGCATTGCCTGCTCTTCCAAAGGTCCTGAGTTCAATTCCCAGCAACCACATGGTGGCTCACAACCATCTGTAATGAAGTCTGGTGCCCTCTTCTGGCCTGCAGGCATACACGCAGACACAGTATTGTATACATAAAAAGTAAATAAATAAATATTAAAAAATAAATGCCCCCCAATACTTAGCAATTATTTTTTATTGCAGAGATGTTCCTAAAACTAGTTGCATGTTTAGCAAATGGGGAAGAAGAGAAGTGAAGAGTGAAGGTTAGAACGGGTTCCAGATGTGAACTTACATTCTTCAATGTTACCAGGTCCCCTTTCCCAGTCCAGAGAGTGATTACCATCACTCATGGCATAGTGGTGCTCCAGAAGATTTATCTTTCATTTTACTATAAAATAATTAAATTTTTCTACTAGATCTATGGTCTTTTATTATTTTGTTATTTTTAAAATAATTGTGCTATTCTTTACTTTGTTAGTTAGATTATATTACACAACATGCATGCCATTATTGCCTGAGTGTCTTAAGAGCAAGGAGTCATTTTGTTTCATTCCTGGCTCAGAGAGATGGTGGGAAACAGAAATGGGGTTTAATACATTTATAAATGAAAAAGTTACACTGTGAAATTGAGATTTAAAATAAACCTACTTTATAGTTAATTGTTTACTCTAAACTTTCTGAGATTATTTATTTTTTCATTAGTGATCATGATTTTAACCCGTTTGAATATCAAATAGTCAAATACTCACTTTTTATTGTTAAAATTGATTAATACATATGAAAGTATTTATTAAACTGGATTTTTCTTAGCATTAATAATTCTGAAGCTCAGTTATGATCCTGAGAAATTTCATTTAGGATTCAATAAGAATTTTTAAATCTACAAGACTTTATAAATTACCATTCCTCCGTAAATGTTCACATTTAGTTTCACAAAGTCTCTGTCAATGTGGAATCTATCCACAACTAAAAGAGAGAGAAAGAAAGAGAGAGGGGAGAGAGAGAGAGAGAGGGAGAGAGAGAGAGAGAAACTTTCTAAACCAGCCTGCACATGTTCCTTTGGTTTTAAAATATCTCTTCATATGAAATACATATTTAGATATACAACATTTTAGTACATCAACCAATTTGTTCTATTTTCTGCAAAACAAATGTTATCTTTGATGTAGCTTCTAATGTATGAATAAACACAAGCATATCTTTTATGTGATGACATGTGTGCACTCACATACAAATATCACGTACACTCATGCACAGACGCCCTCCCCTTGAGGCTTGCTCTAAATGACCAGTTTAATGCTGTCTTCACAGGGTACAGCAAGGGAGTGTCAAGCTGGACGCTGTCTCAGTTATAGAGCTTGATTATAGGTGGCAGAACACACCCAGCCTTTCGAGTCCGGCTACAAGTTCACTTATTAGACAACCAATTAAAATAAATTGTTCTGGATCATCCTTCAGCAATCATAACTTCCATAAATAATTAGGCAGAAAAGATTATAAACGAGTTTATTTGAAATACAATGTGCCAAAGATTTGTGTCTACACCTTTCTAAGAGTTGGCTACATTTTCAAATCCTTTTCTGTCAAATAATTTGCTTTAATCCAGACCTACACATTTACTTCAGAAAGAGCAAAATGTTTTTATTGTGTTGTCTTGAACTTCTCTCTTCTCCAGGTGGAAGGAGTTAACTTTTAGAAGGAAGATGTGAGACACATGTGATCATGCACAACCAAGTTTTAGCTCTACTGGGAGCCTATAAAAACTTGGATCATTTGTGAATCAGGTTATATAGATTGCTGTGGCATTAGATTTTAATTGATTCTCTTTAATTTGTATTCCTTGGTGATAGTGGTTGTGTGTGTGAGTGAATGTGTGTGACAGAGCGAGACAGAGACTGAGAGATAAACACACAGAGAGACAAGAGAGACTATGAATCTGACATCCTTCTCTCTCCAGAACAGACTTATTGATATTAAGCACTTTATTCTTTGCCTTTGCCAACCAGTTTTTCACCTCTCCTTCATCATTAGCTTTAAATTTGTTATAAGGTTACTCTAAAAAATAGTGACCATGGTAGGAAGTTGGTGGTAGGAATTTCTTCCTAACAAGTCTTGTGGTTCAAAGATAGCTGGGAAGGCTGTGTGGATTCATTTCTTCAACTTCTCTGTGGAGGAGATATGTTCTCTCCTCTATGTAGATAAAACACTTAAAATTAAAATATACCATGAAAATTACTTGTAAGTCTGTTGGTTTCACTTGAAAACAACATTTTTGTTCTGATGATCAATACCCGAAAACATCCTGGGATTTTTTTTGTGTAAGAATGTGATCTTGTCAAATATTTGGAATGGCTTCAAGTTTTACAATTTTTGTACAGTGTCTTCAAAATTTAACGTTAGTACTACTTTTTCTAGCAAATATTAACTATCCAGACATTCTAAACAGATGCTGTTTTTCTATCCCCACACAGCTCCGACTTCCTTTACATGACCCACACTCTTTGTACTACCAGCTTCTATGAGACAGCATCAGAGAGCACTCCCGACTCTTCCTCCTTGCACCTAATTTCTCACTACTACAACTTACCATGCCTATAACAAAATTATTAACCCTATAACTAGTTTAACATATTTCTTCTCTTATGTAGCTATGATACAATGCAATGTTTACAGGGTTTTCCTTGAGATAGTAAAAATTCATACTGACAAAGAACTATTAAATACTGTTGGTTAAGACACATTTTTAGGTTAAGATGAGACATTTCCAGTTTCCTTTGCAGTTAAAAAGCGCAGTTATGTCGTCTGAGTCAGGCACAATTGCATGCACACTTCACTGCATGCTTGCTTTGGCTGTACTAGATTCCAGTTTGCTGACGAATCCAGTCGCGGTAGGTTGTCACTCGAGTATACACTCCTGGCTTATTGGGCTGGCCACACTGATAGCCCCAGCTCACAATCCCCACAACAAACCAAAGCCGCCGTGTGTCTTCTTGTACTAGTGGGCCACCAGAATCACCCTGAAGGAAACAAAGCATTGGTTACTTAAATGGAAAAGCAACACTGGAATCTGCAGTTTATTGCTATCACAGTAGATGAAGTCCTGGTCATTTACCGGTCCATGTCTTTCTGAGAGACAATAAGCCATGAAAACAAGCCTAAAACCCTTCAAGTATACAAGCAAGGCTGAGAAGATGTAAAGCTCATTAGCTAGTCTTTCTTCAGCCACCTTCCTGGTGGCTTCCTCTGCATCTCATGCTTCCACCCTAGGAAGCCTTCTATGACGCTCTGCTTTCCTTTGTACTTCCGTCTTGGGGCTCTATTAGCTTCTTACTGTGATCTCATACTCTGTGGTATCTATGTCGCTGCTTCTTCAATATTTTATGAAGGCTTGATTATTCCCACCGGTCAGCTCTCCTTGAGTTAGCATTCTGCGCTTTTTGATACTTGACCAATATCTGTGTGAGCCGTGCTGTTGCAAAGTCCACCAGGGAAGGGAGCATCCTTGTTCTTGACACAGCTGCAACCTAGGTTTCTAGTCCCCAGGAGATGCCAGTGAAATAGCTTTTGAGAGAATGAGCTTATAGACTCGTCACTTACTGCCCTTTCTTTACTACCCAGTGTGATGCTTGATGCATAGTAACTCATCTGCCAGTATTCTTTTAGTGAGTAATTGGAAAGAAATTTTTATGACAGTAAGTAGAGCATTTCTTACGAGATATTTATTAGCCAATGGCAATAACCAACTGCCTAAACACTTATACATGCGATAATCTAGTTAGGGAGATACATTTAAAAGATACTATATTATTGGTTATTTCTGTGAATTCTGGAGCTAGAAAGCCTGAGTTTGAGTCCTCCACCTGTCGGCTATGTGAACTCCAGTAAGCTCTTTAACATCTCTGCACTACAATTCTCTTATCAATAAATGATGCTTTTATGAGTTTAAGTGAGCTTAATACACAAAGCACTGTGGGAAGAGCTTGGTGTACAGTCAGTACTAATAAAACCCCCCTATTATTACCAAACGTACGTCTAGAAAAGTTAGCTATTCATTTGACTGTTCTTAGTAGTTAGGTTTTCCATACCTATTTAATTAATAGTTTAGACAGAGGGAAAGGTCAGTGTGTGAATCATCAACTTGCTTGACAAGTACTGCATGAAGCTGGTTGGTACCTCATTCCTTTGGATGATGCTTCATGCTCCATTTGACCAGTCCTCAGGATTTTCTTGTTAGGGTTTTGATACTATTTTTCCTATACTGACAAATTTTTCTTAATTATAATTTATCTACTATGTATGAGCAAATGCTAACTATGAGTGCCATGCAACTTTTCTTGTACCTAGTTAGTTTTACTGCCTAGAGGCAGATGCTTGAACTTGAATTCTTTTGTTTGCTTGTTTGTTTGTTTCAAGACAGGTTTTCTCTGTAGCTTTGGAGCCTGTCCTGGAACTAGCTCTATAGATCAGGTTGACCTGGAACTCACAGGGATCCGCCTGCCTCTGCCTCCCAAGTGCTGGGATTAAAGGCATACACCACCACTGCCTGGCTTGAACTTGCATTCTTGTTTCTAAACCTGATAAGTGCGGGGACGATCTAGTTGCATTAACACAAGGAATGTCACACAGAAATAAATGAAAAGATGTATTTTTTGAATGAATATATGAAAATGATATTATAAACTTCTATGTAAAATATTGTTTATATTTATGTTATATTTTTGAGACAGAAAATCTATGTGTTAGAGTGTTTCAAGTAACAATCAGTGAGGCCAATATAAAACAAGGAAAAATTTCATGATTGTGATGTCATTAACCTGCCTGAAATGAAGAGCAGAGTTTGTATAAACAGACGCTGAGGCATGAGAGAGGGATACCGAAAAAAACATTTTAATACACTATCTCCTCAAGCTGTTGTTGGGTTACTCTCTGACTGCTAAGTTCTTTAGAAGACTTCATGAAACTTGACAGTTTGCCGTTGTGGAAGGTGGGCAAGGGCTCCACACCTGAAAACACTAGAATATTTATAATGTTTAACTATTTGCTCCTGTGATTATATTGGCTTAGTTTCAGACAAAGGAATGGAATCCTTTGTCTAAATTTTCATTAATTTCATTAAAATTTTGATATTAAATTTTATACTAATCACTAATGAAGACAATTGTACACTTACTGTTTGTTTTAGGGTATTTAATTTAAAGTTTTACAGGCTAGAGACAAAGTTCTTTTCCTTTTTTTCTTTTCATTTTCCCTATTTTCTCTCCTCTTCCTTTTCTTTTTCTTCTCCTCCCCTCCCCTTTTCTTTCTTTTTATTTTCTGTTATTATATAATTTAGGACCCGTTGTGGTTCAAATAACTAAGCTACTTTCTTTAAAGTGCTTCAAAATTTAGATATCTTTGGTGGTTGCATGCTATAGTATTTTTATTAATTGGACTGAGAATGAAGAGTGTTTACAAATAAAATGGTATGTTAAAACTTAGTAATTATTTATAAACTTAGTAATTGATTATTTTATTATGAATTGGTCATTATATATATTTGTAGGATAGAAAATGCTTCTAGATAATATTTCTACAATTCAAAACCTTAACATTGCTACTTGTGATAAAAACATAAAAGTTTAAAGCAACTTTGAAGTAGGTTCTACTTTACCTTTAATTGTATCCACCATGTTGTATAATATTTGCTTGAATATTCATAGCAATTAAAAGTTACTATTTTCATGACAGATGAGATTCAGAAAAGATGTTTCTCCTCTATAATTAAGGGCATACATTTTTTGAGATTCAGAGTTGTGTGTGGCAATTGTTATTTTTACGCCAGTGACAGAGTAGCGTGCTTGAAAATGCCTATAAACTTCTCGATGATGATATTGATAAGGTTGTCTTGCACCTACCTGGCATGCATCCACTGCACCCGAAGGCACCCCAGCACAGAGCATTCCAGGCAAGACACTTCCACCATAAGCAGCTGGTTCATTGCATACTTCGTTACTTATTATTCTGACCTGTCCTTGCCGTAGATCTGTGACTGTGTTGCCTGTTTAGTATAAAAACAGAAATGAAACAGTCTTCGGAAAATATGGACTAATGACTCTGTGCTAAATTTGAGAATGAATAAATGCTCAAAACATTATCTATTTTAAAAGGGAGGCACCAAAAGATGCACATAAGCTGAGCAAAGATTCTTGTAGGAGAGAAAGGATAACTCCTTTAGGAAGACAAGCATCTCTTTTCTTTTTCTTTTTGAGTTTGTGATCTGTTTTACTTTATTGTCTTAGAGTTAACCAGTAAATAGCAGAATGTGGTGACACATGCCTGTAATCCCAACATTTAGAAAGTAAATATAGAAAAATCAGGAGTTCAAAATCAGCTCCAATTTCCTAGTAAATTTGGTGACAACCTGAGCCACCATGAGAATCCGCCTCAAAAAACAATAGTAAACCCAATCCAACAACTTGTGTTAAAATTGACTTGCACTGTTTAAATTGTTTACAGATGGATTTGGGATTAGAAAACTGTACATCAGTGAACATTTAGCAGCGAAAGAGAAATTGTTCTGGCCATAAAGAACTAATCTGTGATATTAGTGCTCTTTCAGCAGAGTGCTGTCTGTTTTCTGTGACTGGTATAGAATTTACCTATTGCATCAAGCCTCTTGAATCAAAAGAACACAATGAAATGCTTTCTGAGACAATTAAGACTTATTAGTCCCTAGAGGAATAATCACTATCATGACTGTAATAGCCCAAAGAAATTGCCACTTCCTACTAGATTGTGTTATTTTTTTTTTGCTCTAATTGTTCTTTCAGATTGTGCTTATTTTAATTTCAACTCTATTCATTCAATGAATAAATGCTGTGGCTGCAGGATTCATTTCAGCCCAGAGAAAATTAAAGGCAGTACTTTAAAGGGTGTTAAAATTCCCAGGTAATTATTATTTTAAGTCTCCTTTTTTTTCCACAAAAAATCAAAGACTTTCTATATTAATAAGAAACTTATTGAAGGGGCTCTAGCAAGCCTAAGCATGGCAAATATGGCCCTGGCAGGCTTTGCCCTTTTCCCCCATCCCCTCTATCTTGCTAAAAACTGTTAAATCACATTCCTAAAGCTGGCCCCCAAAGTCCGTTCCCTTATTTGGCCCTTCCTTCTCCTGAGGCTGACTACCAAGCTCTAGTTATAAAAGTATTGAAATCCAACAATCAAATCCCCTTTATGCCACCTTAATTAAAATGCCCAATCAAAATTACCAGTTCATCCTAACACCGGGTTTCTTATTGACATTTACCTCTGGGTCACATTTGTCTTCTCTCTATGCAGAGGCAGTTCCTTTGGGACAAATACCCCATTCACCCTCTCCGTTGCTTCTTTCCTCCCCTCTCCCTTGTTTCCTTCTCCTTTTCTCTCATTTTCTATCTCCTGTCTTTGTCCCTTATACCTGCCATCAGTCCCTCTAGAACAAATAAATCTCTTTTGTGTTGAAAAGTTGGTCTTGGGTTGTCTTGCACTGACTTTGAGGTCCCTACACTTGGTATTGGGTTGTCTTGCACTGACTTTGAGGTTTCTGCATCCCTTTCTTTCACATTTTCCTGTTTTAGAAATTCCCACATCAGACAGAGGACAGATCTTCAAAATATACAAAGAAGTCAAGAAATTGGTCATCAAAAGAACAAATAATCCAAATTTTAAAAAAATGGGGTACAGAGCTAAACAGAGAATTCTCAACAGACGAATCTAAAATGGCTGAAAGACACTTAAGGAAATGCTCAACATTATTAGCCATCAGAGAAATGCAAGTCAAAACATATCTGAGATGCCATCTTACACCTGTAAGAATGGCCAAATCAAAACCACTGATGACAACTTATGATGAAGAGGTTGTGGGGAAAAGGGAACACTTTTCCTTTGCTGGTGGGAGTGCAAGTTGGTAAAGCCCCTTTGGATGTCAGTGTGGTGATTTCTCAGAAAATTAGGAAACAACCTTCCTCAAGACCCAGGAATACCACTTTTGCATATATGCCCAAAGGATGCTCAATTGTACCTCAAGGACATGTGTTCAACAATGTTCATAGCAGCATTATTTGTCATAGCCAGAAGCTAGAAACAATCTAAATGCCCCTTGACCAAAGAATGGATGAGGAAAATGTGGTACATTTACACAATGGAGCATTACATAGCAGAAAAAATAACGACATCTCAAAATTTGCAGACAAATGGATGGACAGCTTGAGCTGCAAAATGAATTCCAAGCCAGCCTGGATTAAAGTGAGACCCTGTGTCAAAATTCAAAAACGAATTTCCACAGTAACAAATAACAGACAAGAGGTCATTCAGCTGTTTTATTTCTCTGAGACACTTACCTCCATAAGTGAGAGAGCCCCAGCCTGTGACATATGCAACAGAACCGGGTATGATACTCTGGGTCGCAGCTGGGAGACACACCCTGTGGATATTTCTGGTAAATGTGATGGGTCTTTCAAGTTGTATAACTGCAATATCATTATCACGAGTTGTGGGCCTGTAATTGTTATGTACTACAATAGCCCTTACTCTCACTCTTAAGTTAGGAAGTACGGTAGAAACACCAAAGGTGGCAGTCCATTGCAGAGGATTAGAGTAGCTAAAAACAAAACCAGAAACATGCCATTAAATAGGGAATTCACAAGTACTTCATGTATTTGTACTGTGGCTTGAATTATAATTATATTAGGTCTTCGAGAGTTTCATATAATGTGTTTTATATTTACCACCAACATCTCATTGATACATTTTCCTGAACTGTAATCACATAATAGTATTGAACTCCTTACTAGCAGTTTATATAGTCATTTTATTCTAATTATTCAGAGAAAGATTTTTAGAAAACACATCTTGGAGTAGTACATTATCTTGACTTTTTTCTATCCCAGTGAGTGTATCCCAACACTATAGTTAATGGTAGCTAGTGTAGGGGAATGTTTCTTCCCTGATGTTCCCATCCAAGCGCAAAGGATTCTGAAATCATTATCTTGTATATTTTAACTCGTTTCCCTTGATTATTGCTTTTTCTTTTGTTTTTAGAAGGGAGATCTATTCAAGTAGTAGTGAGATTGAATGTTATCTTTCCTGTTAATAGATGAATGATTATTCCGTACTAAATTTGAGCATATATATATATACATATATATACACATACAGTGTGTGTATGTAAATGTATACATATGTATAGAAAGAGAAAATTATTATTGTAACTTTGGAACTATAGAGTTTTTTAGATATACCCTAAAAACACATATGTAAGGTAAAAAATGGATAAGTTTTATTTAATCAAAATTAAATATAATATATGCAAGTTTATCAGGCAAGTAAGCAGCCACAAGAAAGTACTGATTAATTCTTAATATTTGTATTTTTAGATGGTTTCATGTATCCTGGACTTTCTTTGAACTTGCTAGATGACTGAGGATTATCTTGGATAATCAGATAATCAGATTCTGTTGTCTCTGCATTCCAAGTGTTGGTATCACACTGCTACTATTCCCAGGAAATACTTACAAGCTTTGAAGGCTCTACAATAATGTCTACACACTAATAGTAAATGGACTGGGAAGCCATTGTAGAATGGGCATGAAATATCAATAGGAAATTCATGGAAAGGGAGGCCTAAACACCTCCTAGATGTAAGAAGAGATGCTTAAAAACACTGCTATCGAGCAATAGAAATTATAGCAGTGATTACAGAATGTATATTAATAAGAAAGATAAAAATTTAACAAGAGCACTTTACCAAGTGTTGACTAGGCAGAAATTTGGATTTCTTGTATTTCTGGTCAAACTAAACATTTGGAAAGCTCTGTAGTATATTTGTCTCCTTCTGAGCACATATCATAAAAATTTCTAAAGATTTATTGATAGTATTCCTTTGTGTGTATGTTCTTGTGTATGTCTAGGGAACGTGTTCTTTGTGGCAATGGGAAATTACAGCAACCTAATGAGATGGTGTAAATATGATGACTGATTATGGTGAATTCATGAACGACACTGGCTCCAACAGAAGGGAATTCCTGTGATTACATAAAAACCATATAGAACAATACAGAACTTTATAATCTGCTGTTGTCATAAATTAAAAGCACATATTCACAAAAGTACCGACAAGTTTAACAGGTTGTGAATATTTAGAAATATTCAAATTAATTAGTTCCAGTAAGTCTTTTGAGTTAAAAGTGGGATCCAAGAATAGGAAAAGAAAAAATATAACTTAAAAAAGGTCTTTTTTAAGCACTGATGACAATAAGTGCTTCCAACTTTGAAAGTTGTTTAACTTAATATTACTTCTCAGATTGAATAGACACAAAATTCAATTAAATTATCATTTAAGAGTTTTCAGATAGTGGAGTTAATAGAAAATATCAAAATTATGTATGTACAAATTTCTTGATTACACATGAATGCACCCCAGTTACAAATTGTAAAGAAAAACTTAAATATGAGCATTTACATTTAAATATTATCTCTGCCACAAATCAGTATCATAATTATGCCAACTTAGTGTCTCATTCCCTAGTTTATGTATAAGGTGTGATTGACTGTGAAGTACTATTGAAATAAGAAAAATATGTCAAGCATGGTATTTGGAATAAAGTAAACTGTCACTTAAAACAGTTACAGTTCTCTCCATTCATAGTTTAGCAAGCCATGGCTGTCTAGTTTGTGTGAGGGAAATCTCTGGAAACAAAACACTAAATAATTATGATTTCTATCCTTTATGAGTTCAATACATTGGTGGAAGAGACAAGTATACTATTAGAAAACAACAAAGATTACTAAGTAAAAAAAATGGTATAAAAAGTAAGAAAATATCATGAGGAGATGATAATAGAATAATTTTCAATAGAGCCTCATCATGTCTCTGTACCTGGATGTAAGGGTGATTATCCCTTAACAAGTGCCTGTTCATGGTTCTTGGTGATGCTCAGATCAGGACAGAGGTACCAGGACATAGTCCACATAGCTTCTCTGCTCTGGTGGTTCCACAAGGTGGAGAGTAGGTTTGTGGTGGCAAAATTAAAATACATTTCCTGCATGGCTTTGGCATTCATTGTTGATACTTGTGATTACACCATTCAAGATGGTGACATACTTTCCTTGGTATTTGATACCTAGGTTCCAAGAGAATACAGATCTAAGATTGTTTCTAGTGCATCCCCAATTACACTAAAGTCTGCTAAGTCCAGGCACTTACACTTTTGATTTCCACACTAAGGGTGTGGCTGAAAGCCAATAGTGTCGGTCTTAATGTTGGGCATTTCATGTGACATTGATTATTGAATTGGTTTTATGAATTTTGTTCCCTGTGTTACCTGAAATGTAGCAGCACGTGTGTCTATTTAAACCTGAATCAAAAGATTTGAGGGTGATCTCTCAAGTAAATTTCAAATTTATTCACCAACATTGAGTTATAAAATAGCAGCAGAAAGATGAGAGGTTTTCTGGAATCTTTGTTCAGAAACTGTGTGCAAGTTTTCATGCTAATTCTCTTCATCTGATTAATGGACTAGTAAAAAGACAAATGCGATAAAAGACAGTACTTTCCACTCTCAGTACCATCCATCTCTTTGGAATGGTGACTCTCCAAGAGCACTCCAGTCTGAACAAATGGGGATTTGGAGAAAATAGCATTTTAGGAAAAAACAGCGTCGTGAGAAGTTTTGTAGATGGGGAAATTGAAAAAGAGTTAGAGGAGAAAAAAACTGAGTGCCCAAAGCTTAGGATGCATATTTTTGGAAACAAGTTTGGATTGATTTGAGGGTGGATTGTTGTGTATGATAAGGATGCTGTATTTTACTAATTGAAAAAGAAAGAAAAGATATGGTTAGGGGCACACCTGGGTTTACTTTTCTGGATGATTTTCTTTTTTAGTTTAGTTTCCCCACGTTTTTAAAGACTTGGATGTTCACTACCAATATATGCCTGAAACTCGAAGGTTTCATGTTGAACCCAGAAGAAATCCTTTTATTAGGAGCAGTGTGAGCTTCAGTTTGCACCGACAGAGGGTTTGCACAGTTGCTCTGCAGCCGTCACTTCCACTAGTGTAATAGCATGATAGTCTGCAGTCACTCCGAAGTGTAAATGGCCTAAGAGAACCGGTCTCAAGTAGTAGTGCTGCTGTGGTTGTGCTTGGTGCTTCTATGAAGCATAGTATTATGTTCCCTATAGGCATTAGATCAATTTTGTGAAACTAAGTAATTAGGATTTTCTAGTCTCTAGGCCAACATCAATCTACTAATTAGCTTATGCAATATAATGCGAAAATCATTTACAAAAAAATTAAAAAGTATCTTACTTATCTACCCTGATGAGTAAGTATGCTTTGCCTGAATGTATGCATGTGCACCACACGCATGTCTGGTGCCTGCAGAGCTCAGAAGAGGGTGTTGATGCTGTGGAACTACAGCCACGATGTGGGTGCTGAGAACTGAACCTGAATTCTCTGAAAGCTCAACAAGTGCTATTAACCAACAAACCATCTCTCGAGCCTGGACCACAACAATGTAACATTTTTTTTAAAAAACAATAGTGTAACCAGACCTACCAGGAACACCAGCACTTAGTTAGCAGTGTTGCCCTAGTTTGAAAACAGAGTGAAGTTATACAAATTCTGTGAACTTTTTTTGATCTTTAAAAATTACATCAATTTTATTAGAAATATATTTATGTAAGACAATATTTAAATGTAATCCTTAAATGAAAACCAAGTCCATTTTCCTAAGGACACAAATAATTTCTACAATAAAATTTTTGAGTTTTATCATGAAATAAAAGCAAAAAAAAAGCTGAATGCTTACCACCTCATTAAAAAAATACATAAAATACTGATGTAAGAAATGCTGTGTTCTCTCTCTCTCTCTCTCTCTCTCTCTCTCTCTCTCTCTCTCTCCCCGTTTTTGTGGAACAAAGAGTGGATTTCACATTTGCTCTACATGAGGCAATGAATAAAAGATCACAGATAAAAGTAAACCAGTAAATCATCATTTGCATTGTATTGATATTTACTGAGGTATAAAATCCCCTGGAGTTTAGATGGGCCATCAAATTCCTATGGGGAAGCCACTTTCCTCAAATAGCTTTGGATGCAACACACACATCTATGTGTGAGAATTGATCTAAGAAGAGTGTTGTATCAAGTTCCTGAAGAAAATGGAAGCTGTCCCTTTATACCCCGAGCTGTACATGTTGGCTTTTTACTTTATTTTTAGAATAAAAAAAAGTCTTTTCCACAAATAATGATTAATTTTCCAAGGTTATTTTCTCAAATAGTAAAAGGTGACAATAAAATGTGTTACTCTCCTTTAATTAAAAGTTTGTTTCATACTTTTAATTTTAATGCATTTAACTTTAAGTAAAGAAATCTGCTGTAATATTTCCCCATATTGACACTGAGATCTCAAAGCACTATGATCAAAAAAATGGATTTAAAGTCAATAGACCCAAAGTTCTTACTAATACATTTTCAGTTCATAATATTAGCATCTGCCTTTGCAGTTTCCCAGAACAATGAAAAGAAGCAGCTTACAATGGCGACAGTGAACATATCATAAAGATTTCCTGGAGTAAGTGTTGTGAAAGTTAATATCAAATCAAGAACTAAGCATGTGATATTCATCTGCCTGTAAAGGAGGTACCACACTGGTGAAAAGCTCTGAGCATCAAAGCATTAGAACAAGGAAAACTCTGCCAATAGAGACAAATAAAGGATTTAAATCAAGCACTCTAGTGTGTGATTCTTATTCTCTTTGCTATGTTGTAGTACTGTCATTTGGAAAAGAGAGCTATCAGCAAATCATTATGCCAAAGGAGAAGAGACAATTATACTTCCATAAATGAAAAAAGAAACGACTCAGAAATAATTTCCTTTGAATTATTTAGGTGTCAATCCAATTATGTTTAGTCCTAGGGGTAGTGGGGGGAGTCTTCATGTAGCTGTCTTTCCTAATTATTCCCAGATGGAAGAGTAGCTGCGGACTCACCTTCTGAAGCAGTGAGCTGCTGTCAGGACCCACGAGTTACTTATCAGGGTACCTCCGCAGTGGTGGACATTATTGAGCTGGAGACTGACTTGCCAGGGCCAGTCGCCTGTGTCGGCTAGAGTGCCCCCAATGATCCTCTCCTCAGACAGTGTGATAAGGTCCGGACGGGCTCCACATTCTGACAGGAAAAAAGTATTAACCTGCTGGCCTGGTGATGCTTCTACCCATTCAGAAAATTCCTGCAGTGATTCTCCCTCATTGACGATTTTCCCACCCTTTTCCTAACACGTGCTGGATATTCCAAATGCATGACCATTTATTTTTATTGAGGCAGGGCCTCATATAGCCCAGGCTGCCTCCAAACTCTATAGCTGAGAAAGAGCTTGAACTACTGATCATCCAAGTCTACACCCCAAGTGCTGAGATTATAGACGTGTTAATGTGTATCTGGTTCAATATGTTATATTTTTAGGGATAGGCATGTTTATGGACTGCGTTACAGAGCAGAGTTCTGAAGTAAATTGGATAAGGCCATCTGATTCTGGAGCAGATTCATCATGGTTTGGAATACTTCATAAGTGTGGGCTAACATGGGTCAGTACTGGATATGCCTCCATAGGCCCCAAACTTCTATAATAAGGCTTCCTTTTTTAAGCCACTCAAAATACGACCTGTGGCCTTATTAAATGATTACTCCAGGAACCTTGTTGGGAATACTGACTTTCAGTCCCACACCATCTAACAAGTCAGAAACTGTTATTTTGAGGAGAGATGAATGTACAAAGTGAAGTTGGAGTAAAACCATTGTATCCAGAGGCCTCCTCCTGGGCATTCATGGATGTTCTGGTTCTCCTTACCTGGCTGTGTAAGAGGACCTTTGGAAGGAATTAAATGAAACAGAAGATTCTGATTTCTAGAATTAGGTTTAAGACTGGTGAGATTACTCAGCTGGTAAAGGAGCTTGCCTCCAAGCCTGACAATGTAAGTTTGATTTCTGGGACTGACTCCCCGTTATAGTCTTGCCATAGCATGTGCATATGGACAATGACTAAAAATGTTACTAAAAATATAATATAACTTTTTAAAAATAACTTAAGAAACCTACAAACATTTCAATGACAGAGATGAAATGCACTGGGGTGGGTTAATTTTCGCAGTTCCTCTCAACCCAAATATTATAATATTTCTTCTTGTATTTAGTCTAATGTTTATTAGCAATAATAGAAGTATATCATTAATAAACATTTCTGCTGCTGCATTGGTAATAGGTAGCTAATCCTAAGCATTTGTTTTCTTGCAAATTCTACAATAAAAGAGGATTAGACTTTTATTAAGAATATACTTGGGTATGGGTTCTTTTTCTGCCTTCTCCAAATAAATTCTTTGGTGAATTATTTTATTACAGTTTTATTCAAAATAATTGTAAATAAACATAGAACTGAATTGAAAAATATATTACAGTGAAATACCATGTACTTGAATTTCTGATTTATTTTAGATACATGGAACTAATTTCTAACTACATTTGGTTGATCTGAGACATAAGTTTTATGTTTCTAGGAATTTTGTGCCTGTCCTCTTAGCCTAAAAGTATATATCAAGTGGCGTTGGAACATGACTTTCCCTTCAAATTAAAGACTTCAAACTTAAAATAGCTTCACAATTTATTGCCTTATGGTTAACCCAAATCCACAACAAAGCAAGGCACTCTGGTGGTTCAAAAAAGCTACATTAATGTTGTCATCAACCATAATTTACAAGCCTACAGAAATACTGCTTTAGAACCACAGGACAAAGCTTTCCAGAACTGCCAAGAAAAATGCCTGGAGCTTGGTGTTGAGTTCCAGGTGGATTATACTCCACTGTAGTTCTATTCTTTTTTTTTTCTAGAAGGAGGGGAAATTACTAAAACACTCATCCATCAGCCACTGTGAAGAGCAGTGACCACTTTCTACAAGATCCCTACAGAGTGAACTCAGAATGAAGGCACCAGCTTCACAGATAAGACTTTGGCAAAGAGCTCAAAAGACTTGAACTTAAGATCCTTATAATTCGATAACTACAAAATAATTGAAAAACTTACCTTGAGTCAAAAAATTTTCTGTATCCTGGTCAGTGAGTGCTAGTGTCAAAGAAGAGAGAGCGAGAATAAGATCAACAAAACGTAAGCTGAAAACCATTTCACCTTGATTTCATGAAGCTCAGTGCCAGGGCAACCAGAAACTCAGTCACTGGGAGGGTTTGCTGAAATTCAGAGTCCCAGGCTCCACCTCAAGCCTTTGGAAAGAACCTCTGAGTCATGTGCCCCAGAAAGCTCTCTTTGCAACCTCATCCTACTTTGTTGCACATAAACTATTGGAGGTTCATGCCTACATCTTTCATGAAATACAGACTTTCCTGCTCCAAAGTCACTCATTACTCTTGGCAAGAGAAAGGCTTAAGCAGTCGTTAGGATTCAATGTGATTATCACTTAACAGGTAATCATTCATTTTTCAAATGTACCTGTGAATAGACATCAAAATTTGCACGCATTACTTTACTGATGCTACAGTGTGTGCTGTTTCTTCAGTGGTTAATAAAACAGAGGCTCTCTCAACACATTATTTACAGATTGATCCTGACCAAGAAATTATTACAAACGAAAAATAAAGTGGGGGGAAGAGATAATGATACAGGGAGAGTCAAAGATGTCATCACAGAGGGCATAACATGTGCCTTGTGCTTTGAAACCCTAAGGAATGGCCCATGAAGACAAGAAGGAAAAGACATTCTGAATGGAAGGTGACATAACACCTGTGCTCCAGGATATAAGATGTGAGTTGTGCAACAGTCAATAGGTTACTACAGGTGTTGCATGCTGGGTTGTTGGGAGTGCCAGGCAAGACAACAATGTCAGCATTTGGTAGTGACAGTTTGTGTGCTCTACTTCCAAGTCTGAATTCAGAAGAGTTTCCCAAGGCAGGTCTTACAGTCATCTCAAACTCAGTATGAGCAACACATTTTATCTGAAATTTGCTACTTATATTTCTTCATTTAGTAAAGAATACCATACCTACTGGCAGTTAAAAATGCTCTAAAATTTCCCTTTTCTAGTTCTCATTCCTTTGAACAAGCCTCATCTTCTTTGGTACTCCATACTTTTATTGTTTGACATTGGTACAGTTATGATACCTTCGGATTGATTCTGTTGTTACTTTATTAGACTTACACTTTCTGAAACTATGTCTGAAAATATTCTTGCTGGTCTTGAAAAGGTTTAGTGGGCTATCAATCTTCTTATTTTCAATAAAATGAAGTCAAACTTCATTTGACTTCATTTATTGTCTTATTCATAAGACAGGTTTTCATAGTCTTTAAAAATAGTTTATGCCAAACTTATTCCCGGTTTCATAAAGTTTGTGATATATGATTTACTTCTGTATATGTGTTGCTTTTATTGGTTGATGAATAAAGCTGTTTTGGCCAATGGCTTAGCAGAGTACAGCCAGGCAGGAAATCTGAACAGAGATAGAGAAAGAAAGTAGGTGGAGTCGAGGAGTTGCCATGTAGCTGCCCAAGAAGCAAGATGTGAGGTAACAATCCACGAATTCGTGATAAAATGTAAAATAATAGAAATGGGTTAATTTATGATGTAAAAACTACTTTTACATTTTATCACGAATTCGTGGATTGTTACCTCACATCCCTAGATTGTTCTCTGGACAGAAGAGAGGGTGCCTGAAACGGCCTTGGCTCATAACCATACTGATGAATATTTTGCTTATCACTATAAAACCTTCATCTGGCGATGGATGGAGATAGAGACGGAGATCCACATTGGAACACTGGACTTAACTCCATAGGTCCAAACGAGAAGCAGAAGGAAAGAGAACGTGAGCAAAGAAGGCAAGACAAGAGGGAACCTTCATCCGACGACGGATGGCGATACAGACGGAGACCCACATTGGAGCACCGGACTGAGCCCCCCAAGGTCCAAATGAGGAGCAGAAGGATGAAGAAAATGAAAAAGGAAATAAGGACTGCGAGGGATGCGATCACCCACTGATACAAGGGGACGGAGCTAATGAGAGTTTACCAAGGCCAGTTGGACTGGGACTGAACGAGGACGCGATCCAACCAGATTCTCTGAATGTGGCCGGATTCTCTGAATGTGGCTGGACCGGAGTCTTTCTGAAAAACCATTGACAATGACACTGGGACTTGTTTCCTCTGCATATACTGGATTTTGCGGATCCAGTCTGTCTGGATACTCACCTTCCTGGACCTGGAGGGAGGGGGGAGGAACTTGAACTTCCCACTGGGCAGGAAACCCTGACTGCTCTTAGGGATGGAGAGGGAGGAGGAGAGGGAGTGGGGGGAGTGTGAGGGTGGTGGGAGGAGGGGCGGAAATGGAAACTTTTATAATTTAATAAAAAAAATTCAAAGAAAACACAAAATACACATAAAAAAAGATGTAAAAACTAGTTAGGAATACACCTGAGTCTTTGGTCAAACAATATTGTAATTAATAACATTTCCATATGATTATTTGGGTCTGGGAAGTCGGAAAATGAAAGCAGAGTCTCCATCTACAACTTTGTGAATTTCATTTGCTTTTGTAAGCATCAGTAGGGCCAAGTCATCCTGTTGGAAGCAGGAAAATCAAAAACATCTGATTACTTTTCTTCTTTCTTTGAACAAAAAAACCTTGAGTTTGAATCTTAACTATCAGCATATTGACTCTTTGACCTGGGCCCTTATCTATCTATGTTTCTTCAATGTTGTCAGTAAACAAACCTATGGGGATATCCATAAGCTTCTTGTTTTATTGTTCTGTCAAAGTATTCTCTTAGAGTTCTTGCTCCCTGCCCCCACCTTCAAGTAAAGCTTTTTCTTTCCATATCTCAGGATATGGAGATCCTTCTCATGTTTGTGAGTCCATCTGTCCTCTAGTCTCTTTCATTTCTGTATCCCTGTATCAGTTGCTGTCTTTATTGGATAGGCTTGACATGATTGGGTCTTTCTCTTGCTTCTTCATTTTATTTTCATGTTTTGCAAAGCAAGCAAGGGCCTTATATATACAATGGAAATGCTCTCTTCTAAACTGTGTCCTGATTTTGTATATCTTCTCTTGATTGTCAAGTCTGTTATCTAACAGAATATTTGTTTGTTTCAGCTTTGCTATGAGTCTCTGGGAGGTAGAAACTGCTATTGATTTATTTGCAAAATTACCCAGCACAATGCCAAATATATAGCAAGTACCCGGTAAGTACTTTGGAAGTATACCATAATGTGTAGGAGAAGAGGTAATATTTGCTTACTTAGACTAGTCCCTGAGTGATCACAGTCAGGACACAGTGAAACTGGATTTGGAGAAGTGTCTAGGAGTTAATTACTGAGATAAACATTAACTCTTTAGTTGGAACAGGAGAAGATAGTTCAATGAAGGGAAATGGAGGCATTCAGAGAACTTTGTGGGTCTAATGCGGTGATTATCTACTGTTTGTTAATGTTATTTCTTATGCTCTGGTCCCTTTAAGGACTAACCACGCCCACTCCCAGCCACTTCTGACCTCCTGGTCACCATCTTAACTCTTTCTTTTCTGTTTCCCGTCTCTTGGCGTGTGCACACGTGTCTCTATCTCTCTCTATGTTTATCTTCATGTCTCTCTGTCTCCCTCTTCTTTAAGTAATAAATGTCTCCCTTTTCTTTAAGTAATAAATATTTAGCTTTATGTTTACCCTTATGCCTATTTATTATGTCCTGTAAGTCTTTTATCTGGCCTGCTCTTTGGGCCGCATGGCAGGACCAGCTCTGCCACTCGCCGTGGGAAACCTGCACACCTCTGGCGGCAGCCTCTGCCTGGCTTGCAGGCCGCTGGGGACACCCTAGCATCATATCTTTTTAAAGAACAAAAGTTAAGCCTTCGAACATTTAAACAATTAGGACTTTGGTGGTAGGTACATACTAGACCAGTTCTGGAGCTATGAAAACTATTAGATATTCAGCTCGTTATGAAGTCTTGACTTCTTCCAGAAGTATTGGCAGAGCCAGAGGGGTTTCTTTATTAAGTAGTTTTTATTTCAGTCATGTTACAATTACTTATTGCATATCTATTATGTACCATGATCTGGGTAATAGAAGAAATATATTATAATGGAAGGAACAATAACATGAACAAAACTCAATTGTTAATTACCATTGCTGTTATGGAAAAAAGTCAGGAGTTCTTTCAGAAAGAATAATTAAAAATTGAGCTATCATATGATCCAACTATCCTCTCCTGGGTAAATGCCTAAAGGAATCAAAATCAGTTGTCAAACAGACATGTGATTTGTAGAACTGCTCAAAATCACCAAGATGTTTATATGGTTTCTACAACTGTGATAGATACCGTAACCAAAAGCAACTGTGAGAGGAAAGGGTTTTCACTTAGGTTTACAACCCTCAGGTGATACTCCATCACTGAAGGAAGTTTGGGCAGAAGCTCAAGACAGGAACCTGGAGGCAGGAATGAAGCAGAGGCAATAGAGGAGTGCTGTTTATTGACTTGCTTCTCACAGTTTGCACAGCTGATTTTCTTATATTATCCGGGACCAAGGTTGGCACCACCTATAATGGACTGGGCCCTTCCACTTCAAACATTAATCAAAAATATAACCCACTAGCTTGCCCACAGGCCTATCTTGGCAAAGAACGTGTTCTATTGTGATTCCTCTTCCTACACGGCTCTAGCTTGTGTCAAAAACACTAGCCAGGAAAGTCATCCCTTGCCGACTTGACACACTCAGCAACAAATTTTCCTTTCTCATTTGTTAGTATCACAATATAAAGCATTTAACCTTTATAAAAGGCTCACAGTCTTTAAAGTTTAAAAACTTTAAAAGTTCTGTCTGTTTAAAATATACAGTGTCACTTTAAAATTCGAAAGTTTCTCAAAGGTCTCATAGCTGTGTGTTCCTATAAAATCAAAATAAGTAAAATACTTCCTTATTCCAAGAGGGAATAACCAGAGCACAGTCAGTATCAAATCAAAGCAAAACAGAAGTCCTACAGTACAAATCTCAGTGTCAGACATCTGGGACTCACTCATGATCCTTTGGTTTCCAAAGGGCTTAGGCAGTTCAAACCCCCCCTCTCCCCCGTAGACTCTGACCAGCTTTACTCCATACCTGCTCCTGTTCTTGGTAATCACCTCATGGTACTGGCGTCTACAAAATGCTTGGTCCTCCTGCAACTGGGTTGTACCTATACCAGTAGCGTTTCTTGGACTCTTTTTTGGGGACTACATGAGGCCAAGTCTAAAGTTCTCTGCATAATCCCTTTAATCCTGGAACTTCTATTGCAACTGAGGCTGCACCTCTGCCAGTGGCCTCTCCTGGCCTCCCACTGCTTCAGACCTCATGATCATGGCCTTCATGACCTCTTTATTTTCAAAGCCAGTATGACCTAGGAAACTCTTACTTCTTACCAACTTCAGCTACCAGAAGCAGGGGTAACCTTAGGCCCCTCGGGATCACAGTTTCTGTGTGATGACCCTGAGGAAACCCTTGCCAGAAAATTTCCCCTTAAGGATCCTGGCCTCTTGTTAATCACTGCTAATCCTTCGGTGACAGCTAACTAAAACCACAGATTTTTAATTCAAAACATTGAATGGCCCCAACAGAGTCTGTAAGGGTCGCATAAACTTCCCTCTAAAATTCCACAAGCCGTGCCACTGTCATGTTTCAATCTCAGCATTATCTTGGGAGTTCCCATAATAGCTCATTATGCTCTGAACACTCAATGGGTTTTTCTAGCCTAAAGGTCCAAAGTCCTTACACAATTTGCCCAAAACTAATCTCATCTATCATAGAAATTATCCCATGAACCTGATATCAGTTTTTGTGCTAATTAGGTTTCTATTGCTGTGATGAAACACCATAATCAAGAATGACATGCTGTGTGTGTGTGTGTGTGTGTAAGGTTTGTTTTGGTTTACAACACCAGATCACAATCCATCACTGGGAGAAGTCAGGGCAGGAAGTCAAGGCAAAAACCTGGAGGCAGGAATTGAAGCAGAGACCATGCAGGAGTGCTGCTTACTGACTGGCTCACCTGAATTGCTCAATTTTTTAACACACTCCAGGACCACTTGCCTGGTGGTACTGACCCAAACAACTGGTCCCTCTCATATCATTCACAAAGACAGAAAATGACCCACAGACTTGCTTACAGGCTGATCTTATAAAAGCATTTTCTCAGTTGAGTTTCCCCTTCTCAGATGACCCTAGGTTGTGTCAAGTGCACAAAAATCTAGCAGCACAATACCCATCAGTAATTTACAAGTATGGAGAGAAAAGTGGTGCATAAGGCCAGTGGAATGTTACATAGCAATGAAACAACAGAATGCTGTCATTTGAGACAACATAGAACAGGAAGGCATTGTGTCTAGTAAGTCAGGATCAAGATAATAAATAATGTATGTTCTTGCTTTCATGTGGAAACTAAAACACTAAACTTACAGAGGTAGGGAATAGAATAGTTTTTATCTGCCCCTGTAAAGGGTATTTAGGAGGAAAGAATGGAGTGAGGACAGGCAATGGGATGGCAAGGAAGGATGGGTAGCAAGGATCGCTTTTCATGTTCTACTGTTGTCATGAACTATGGTTGACAACTATCAACGAATATTTTAAAATGCTTACCAGAGATGACTTTAACTGTCCCCCAAGCAAAGAACTGTTGAATGCCTGAATTGATAGCTAAGCCAGTTTCTCTGATCTAATCTTTATGTAATGCATATGTATTGAAATGCCCCAGTACCTTGTGTATAGGTCTAGTGACTACATGTTGGTGGGGGACAATTCTTCATTTTGTCAATTATGTTTTAAGTAAACGCTGATTGGCCAGCAGGAAGTATAGGTGGGACAATTAGATAGGAAGTAGATGCGGAGCAATGAGAACAGGTGTATTCTGGGAAGAAGGAAGCTCTTCCCTCAGTCCTGTTCAGACACCAAAGAAGCAGGATGTGACATGCCCCCCTGAAAAAGGTACTGAGCCATGTGGCTAACTTATACTAGAATAATGGTAACATAAGTTATATGAGCTAATACGAAGCCTGAGCTAATGGGTCAATCAGTTTTATAACTTATATAGACTTCTGTGTGATTCTTTGGGACCTACTGGCTGTGGGAATTGGGCAGGACAGAAACCCTAACAAGCAGCCCACTCTTCATGTTACAACATTCAATTCAAATATATCTTAAGCATTTTTATTTATTTTCAAGTTTTATCATAATAAATTTTATAAAACTAAAAAAGCATTTTCTCATTTTTCTTATTCAAATTTGAGATATCAGTCCTGAATTATATTTCCATTTTACAAAGATAAAACTAAGGCCATAAGTCCTTTCAAATTCCAACCTCTAAAATTCACTCCTATTGGAACCATCTTAACTTATATAATCAATTTCAGAAAGAAAATGAACTTTTTTTTATCATGCTGTGTCTTTCTATACAGGACTCAAAACAATAGAAAAAGACATGGTAGAACAAGTTAAAATATATTGCCCTTGTGTGGACAGTATGAAATAGATCTCTTCCTATGTTGAAATTATTGTATTTAGGAAGAAAATCAATCTTCAAAATATTTATGACTATTAAAAGAGAAAATCTTAGACTGTTTATGTTAGAGAACTATATATTATATATTTAGAATTGTAGTACAGTTTTGGTGGTTCAATTACAATTAATGAGGTAAGATTCTCATTTAATTAATATATGAATTTGAATGAGTAATTTTGTAAGCTATATTAAAAAGGAAAGGCATAGAAATGATACTTGCATGTTATCTCATTTGAAGGGGCTATTTCCAAGTTTCCAGAATTATTCAGTATTTGTAGCACAGATTGGATTCTGCTTTTCATGGTTTTTTTATTGGCACGTTTACTAGATCGAAATTTCATGACAGCATCCGCGATCACACCATTCCCTTCTTTCCTGTAAGTCAAAAGAAACAGACACTTTCAATATTTTTGTGCTGTTTATATGCTCTTGATGAGACCTTCTTAAAAGAATTCATTTGGGAACACGTTTGCATAATGGGTACACTTAATGATATCGCACAATGCTATCTCCCAAATTTGGTTTTAATACAATCCACCGTAATCACCATACAGTACAGCATTTTGAAATCAGAATGCTCCCACCATGTAACTTTTTATAAACTATTTAAGTTTCTTAATACACTATGTCCAGAAATCTTACTGATTTAAATGGGTTTTTGTGATGATCATATGATTAAATTGATAAGGAACTTTTGGAAAGAATGCATGGAAAACACTAAGGTGCACCACAATAATCATTAGCTGTTATTTGACTTAACAAGTTGAGAAAAATATTTATTGTCTTAAACTAACTTAAAAGTTGATGAGTTTTCAAATTTATGTGATAAAACATCAGTTTTGTGTTACACAGATGCAGTCATCTGACCACAACAACAAATTTATAGGCATATATTAAGATTTTACTTTTCTTTTTATTGACCACAGAGACTCATTTTTCACAATGAACTTGATATCAAAACCTAGATAACTTCTACTTTATTTCATATCAACAATGTTAGGTTGATAGTGTGCATCAAATAACAGTGTTGGTGGCAATGACGTAAACTGAGTGTCTCTGACTGGGTAAACAGAACGATTGTTATTAGTTAAACAGAAGCCTAGATTCAGAATTACTAAGGAATTTTGTAAGGCCTATTTCTGTTTATCATGAAAACCACTACCTCCTTTGTCTACCCCAAAGATCAACCACTGTGGGCTAAGGCATCTAGTTCTCAAATAAGTTCTACCAGCTCCAAGACTCCCACCCCACTGACTGTCGCTGAAAATTGGATTTCTTTCCTGACAAGTGTTGTTCTCCATCCCCTAGAACAGCAGTTTGATCTTATCCCCCCAAAGAAACATTTCTTTCTATCCATGGAGTGATCCAGTTTGATGGTTTCATTGAGCTCTCACTTAGAAATAATTAGCATTATGGGCCACCTCCACCATCTGGTCTTGGCTTGTGTTCTTTCTAGGATAATGTCAATTTTTTGCAATCTATAGTTATCGTTCAGGAGGGGATCTCGATTTAAAAAAAATGCCTCCATAAGATCAGGCTGTAGAGCTGGGTGGGGGTGGCACATTCCTTTAATCCCAGCACTAGGGAGGCAGAGTGGGGGCGGATGTCTGTGAGTTCGAGGCCAGCCTAGTCTACAGAGAGAGTTCCAGGCCAGCCAGGGCTACACAGAAAAACCATGTCTCAGCAATAAATAAATAAATAAATAAATAAATAAATAAATAAATAATAAGATTAGGCTGTAGGATATTTTCTAAATTAGTCCTTGATGTGGGAGTACCCAGCCCATTGCAGGTGGTAACATCCCTGGCTGGGAGTCCTGGGTTCAAGAAGAAAGCAGGCTGAGCAAGATATGAGGAGCAAGCTAGTAAGCAGCACCACTCCACGAACTCTGCCTCAGCTTCTCCCTCCAGGTTCCTGCTCAGTTTGAACTCCTGTCCTGACTTCCCTCAGTGATGAACAGTGATATGGAAGTATAAGCCACATAAACCCTTTCCTACCCAGGTTGCTTTTGGCTATGATGTTTCATCACAACAATAGTAACCTTAAAATTAGGTCAGTTTGCTTCTTTTTGGGAAAAGTGCAGTAGGCAAATTTGGCCCAATTCCCCTTGTACACCTCTGTATACAGTTTCCTCTGCAAAACTCAGAAGCCAGTTCAAATTGTAGACTTACCATCTGTCCCAGGAACTAATTTAGTATATATTTTTTACCAAGTACAAAACAACATTTTGTGATGCTAGACACTACTCTAAGTTCCAGTAATTGGTTGTGGTGAAATTTCCCTGTTGCCACTCTTGTGATTGGGCAACTTAGCTGGAGCAATAGACACTGAACAATTACAATTTATATATTGCTAAATCTAAGCAACTTTAAAATGCTATGTAAATGTTATATAAAATGGTATGAATTCTATTTCATATTCAAAACTGAACTCATAGGATAATGAGGAAAATTTCTAGTATCAAAAACAATCTGTTAAGTTACATATTCTAGAATATGTAATAGGCTTCCATTTAACAATTATGTAGCAAAATAGAGGCGTGATCTTTGGTGAGTGAAATATATGGAATTAGCATTTAGATTTCACACAACTGAACTCTACATGAGGCGTGGATTAAAGAGAAAAAATCCTGCTCACCATAAAGAAAGGGTTTATCTCTTTCCAAGGCTCAACTATAAATTGGGGAAAAGAGATTTATCCTCAGAAATTTGGAATCATGAACCTGGCTATGTAATATTTGTGTTTGTATTAATACTATCTATGCATTCTTAGACTCTTTAAGGTAGAAACAAGTTGGAGTAAAAAAGAAAAAAATGAGAACCTTGAAATTCTCAGCACAGTATTACCAGTGGAGAAGTGTATTTGAAGTGATTAATGATATAAAATAAAGAATTATAAATATGAGAAAATAGATGATTTAACCCCCCACCCCCACAGAAAAAACGGTAAGTGGAATGTTATGGGTCATGCCTGTAATCATAACAATCCTACTAAGGCAGGAGAACTGAATGAGTTTGAGGCCATACAGTTAAGTCCTTATTTCAATCAAACTGAAAAAGAGCAAGCTGACAAAAGATCTGGTAAAATGGTACTCATAAAAAAAGTCCTTAGTGAAATGATAACTTTACAAGTCGTTTGCAAATCATATCAGTCAAAGCTAAAAAAATGTAGTTAAATGAGAGAAGAATATGAAGAAGTTACAGAGTCTAACAACAGTTGAAATGAACATAGACATTAGACACAACGAAGTTCAGTGTAAACTGAATTAATGCTAAAGAGGAGCACACACAAAAGAATTCAACTAGTAAGAATTATTCCTAATTCATAAATATATGATGTCTTAGATTGCAATGAGTCTGAAGCATATTTATAAAAGAAAATAAGAATTTAAGTACATCATATTAAAACTAAATTCCAAAGACCAAGAAATTAATCCTCTAACAAAAATAGAGAAAAGACTAGCTGAACACGAGGAACAAAGAAACTAAGAATAGAATTCTTTAAAATAACAAGAGAGGGCAGTAGGTCACAAAATATTTTAGATGCTGAAAAGTCACTACTGTCTTAGGATGTTACCTGGACCAGAGTACAGGTCTCTAGAATCCATATGAAAGCCAGGTAGATGTGGTAGCCTACCTGTACCCAGTCCCTGGGAAGCAGAGATAAGAAACCCCAGATGAAGATGACTGGACAGACAAGCATGAAAGGCAAGCTCCAAGACCAGAAGAAAGATCCTCGGTATTGAAGGTGGACAATAAACAAAGCAGACATCCCATGACACCCTTGGGTCTTCATATACACACTTTTATGTGTACATGTGCACCTGACCACACATGTGCCTATACACATACATAACTGCACACCACACTCATACACCTGTAAAAGGAAATATGGTATAACTAGAACATCGCCAGTGAAAATTTATTACCACAGTGATTATTTATTGTTAACACTGATAATAATAAAACAAGACTGCCAAATTTCTTATATCATTTGGAAAAAGTTAGAAAATTATGCTGGTCATTCTTAATATTTTATTGATATTCACTAAAATAGGATAACTAGAACAGAAAGTCCATAAACTAGTAAAAGAAAAAATTGAAGAAAACAATGCCATTCACAAGGCAAGAGAGTAGGAAAAAGAACTATAAGTGAGGATAAAGAATATAAAAGATTATGAAATAAAACTAAACATATACGCTATCACAAAAATTGAGGGTTGGCTAAATGTGCCTGGAAAGGGTAAAATCAGTTAGAGAGTACACAATGTCAGCATAGTTTTGATTGTCATAGGAAAAAAAAAATCTAGCCTAGAATGACGTACATAGTTCTGAATTAAGTGGATAAAGATGTATTTCATAAATAAAACCTGAGTTAAAGTCAGTTTAGTCATTTTAAGATTAGAGATGAGATTTGTGTGTGTGGGGGGGGTGATTTTTTGAGACAGTGTTTCGCTGTGTAGCTTTGGTGTCAGTCCTGGAACTTGCTCATAGACCAGGTTGACCTTGAACTCACAGAGATCCACCTGCCTCTGCCTCCCACATGCTGCGATTAAAAGCTTGCTCCACCAGCGCCCAGTTTAGAGATGAGATTTTAAGATGAAAAACTACTGTTTAGATTTAAAATAAAAATCTCAATAAAAGGAACAATTGATAAAAATATATAACTAAACAAGTTTTAGTATGATTCACATAAAGTTTTTGAACACTTTAGTGGGAATCTATGTTATAATTCTATTTATAGAAAGTTAGAAACCATTCAGAACATGTCTATATGTCAATTATGGATACATTTATATGATAAAAACATAGGTGTAGACATAAGAAAGAATATGCATTTTTCCATTCAGACTACTTAAAGTGCTTATCTGGAATCACAGTACTTTTTGATATCCTCACTATGATCTTATTTAGGCCTCCTGTATCCCTACTTTTTATTGCTGTTGCTCCTCAGGAGCTTCCTGCTTTTATTGCTGGTCCTCCACTTTGTGTTCTAGCAGTGTAGTGATCCTTTAAAACATGTGTGTGTTCATTTGACGGACAAACATATTTATAGAGAAGAGGTCAACCTCATGTGGGGCCATCTACTTTAGCTGTTGAGACAGAATCTCTCATTCGCCTGGAATGTCTCAAGCTGCAGTGGTTAAGCAGTGAGCACAGAGGATCCCCCTACTCTTCGTTCCCATCCTGGGTTTATGAGAATTTGACAGCATGCCAATTTTTAAAAAGCATGGGTTCTAGGGAATCAAACTTAGGTTCTCATGCTTGTATAGAAAACAGTTTACTGACTGGGCTAGTTCCCCAGTTTGTGATCCTTTAAAAATCTTAAATTGACCATACCACTCTTCTCAATGACTTCCGCGGCCACTCAGAACAAACTCCCCAATCTTTTACCAAAATCTGCCTGACCTTGTTTCTGTCTAGATCTCTGATTACCACCATCACCTTTGACTTTATTCTACCTTCACAGACATCCTGTTTGTCTGTTGATATTACTGTGTAAAGAATTTGTTATTTGCCAAGCTCATCTTCATCTTTTCCATTTTTCTGCTCAAATATCATTTCATCATAGAATGCTTCTTAATCTCATTTAATCCTCAGCCCCATCCTGGGTTCTATCTAGTGAAACATTTCTCTGATATTCATCTATGCTTTATTTTTGGTGGTGTTGTTCCTTCCCTGGAAGCCATCCCTGTCAAAATTGAAAAACAGGTTTGTTCTTTGTTAAATGCATGTTTTATGCCTTGAATTGATTACAGCATCTTACACATGGTAAGTATTTCTGGAACAGTTATTTGATAGATAGTAGCCAGTGGAAAAAGAAGAAATGGCATTGGGGGTGAGTGGAGTATGACTGAGACTAAAACCACATTGTTAAATGTGTCTTGAAAAAATAACTGAAATATAATAAAATGTTGAATTTGACAAATATGGTGGTTGATACAGGCATGGAATACTTATCTTATGTACTTTGCTAAATGCTAAAATATTTTAGGGAAAGTTGCTGTGAAGGTTCACCTGGGACCTGAAACATAAGTAAGATGGCTGCATGAAGGTGCATTAAGCATGTTGCTTATTATCTGTATTTTGGTGGTTTAACATTTGGCAACTTTTCCATCTTGGAGAACGCCCCTCCTAGGGTTAACTATATTCTTGATGGTAGAAAACCATAAACCCTTGAGTATGTTTTTCAAATAAAGACACACCAATTCAGAGTCATCACCTTCATATAACTCCTGTCTTTGGTTTTTAAACTTTAAGTCACTTTTTGCCACAAAATTCTGCACTAGGTACAAAGCAAGTGGACAGAGTCCCTTTACCCCAGAATTCTGACTCCACCTATTTCTCCCAGAATTACGTTTAGTTTTCCCTGCCTATCTCTAATCTTTTGCCCTATCAGGCCAAGCCAGTTTTCTTTATTAATTAAGCAACTGTATTCACAGCATACAAAGAGAGATCCCACATCACAATAGCAAAATAAATATAGCATTTTACTTCATCTTTTAAGCTGACCCATTTCTTATTATTTTTATTTTCATCTTATTATAACAGTTACACGAATATACCATTTAATATCCACAGTGCAAACAGAAGTCAAACATACCAAGTTGCATCTTTGCAAATATGGTTTTTGTTATGCTTTAACTTACCTGAGTTTGACAACATGTGTTCTGATAAACTCACTTTTTAAATCTGATTCTCGGAATGCATTAGTAATCTGTAGAAAGAAAATGGGAAAATAATCTCACTGAAATTGCGATCTCTTCTTTCTATTCAATGACTCTGTAACGTGGGTGTTATACATTGAGAAGTAGAAATCTATCAGGTGAGGTCAGCTCAGTTTGTCACAGATAGCATAGAATTAATATAGGCCGATAGTGTAATCTTCTGATGTGGGTCCTATTTCACAGCTATTAAGCAAAGAGGATCTGGACAGGGCATGCCTTCAATACAAATTTTTCTAACTACATCAAATGTTTTACTTCATGAGACCTTATGATATATGATTTGCTAGTTGTGAATGAGGTAGTTGGGGTGAGATTCAAGTCAACATTAGGGAAATCCTTTCACACAACTCGATATGTGTGTGCTTCACAATGACTGTGTATCAAATGGTTGAAATCGGGCTAAGGTTAATTAGTGGTTAATTAGATGATTAAGACTGATTACTGATGAAAATCTGAAGGGAAGGTGGAAAGAAGCAAAGAACAGTGCTTCTCTGTTAGTTTTTTGATTCTAGACGATTCTACAGTCATTAATTATAGCATTTGTTGATAATTTCTTGATCTAACAACCTTAGCTATTTCCTAGGAGAGGTAGTTGTCTTGTCAGTTAACAAGGAACATTTAGTCAGAGTTTTCCTGTGGTACAGGGTCAGGTATGTTGCAGTTTTATAGTAGAAAATGGATTGCTTTCACTTTCACTGCTGTTGACCCCAGTGTATGTCAACATGAGATGGTAGAAATGAGGAGTTAGGCAGTATGCTAGGCCTAACTATTTATCTAGGAGTTGAAATAAGTTTTTCTCCAGCTGATAAAATTTATATGAGTTCTATAATACCACAACTTTTAAAATCAATTCCCATTAGCAGATTAACAGCACAACCATTGATGTGGGAAAACAATTTTGTTTTCCCCATATAGACTTTACATTTTATTAAAAATAGTGAACTTTGACTATATTAAAATCATTTTTATTTCCTTTTAAAATTAAGGAAATGCAACAACTTTACTGAAAAAAGCAAAAATCACTGAATTATATAGTTGTGAAGTGAACTATTTCTATCATGATCTATATTTCAGTTATCTACGTAAAAAGACATGGGTTACTATGTTTATTAAGAGCTTGAGTCATAAATGCTCCCTACCAGACTATCCAAATGAATTAATTTTTATACTCATTTGGTTTTATGATCTGTTGTATTGATATTTCTTATAACATTGGGGGAACTAAGTAAACAATAAAGAAGAAGGGATTTTGTGGTTTCCTCATGATTGATGGTTGGTTTTAGGACTCTCTTCATGTTATAGAATGCTCTTCTCTGGGAGGCTTACTGTGTTCTGAAGGAAAATGGAGAGCAGTGGATTTTGGGGGATGGACTGGGAAGGGTGGAAGAAGAGGAAACTGCGGTTGGGACTGAAAGAAAAAATAAAGAGAGAAAAGAAAGCTCTAGCATTCTTACCAGTTCCACTGATGATTTGTAAAGACTAATGTGAATTATATGTCATTTAAGTAAACTCCAAAAATTAAAACATAAGTGACCAGCATTATCCATATTAATAAAGCAGGTCATATAAAAGCATTACAAATAGAATTAAAGTATAATTGTCACATTTTTGCCTTCAGAAAGGAAACACTGTAGCTGCTCTCTGTGTGTTCTATAAGTCACTGTTCCTAGTCTATTACCTAACAGCTAGAGTGTGTTCTGTTATCTGTGAGGTGAATGGTAGAGATGATGTTTTGCGGTCTTCTTTAATATCCATAATCATATTTTGCCACTTTAAACTCAGAGATTTAAAGCACTCAGTTTTCAAGGTAGAAAGGAAATAAGGTGTGTGGTCATGTGATCTGTCTACTGTAACACTGGTCTGCAAGTGTGTGTGTGTGTGTGTGTGTGTGTGTGTGTGTGTGTGTGCAAACTATACTGCTCTTTTTTGAATAGGCAATGGAGGGGAGTGGGTCGGGGGAGAGGGAAGATGAAGCAGAGCTGGGAAGAGTGGCGGCAGCTGAAACTGCAATTGGAATGTATTGTACGAGAAAAGAATCTATTTTCAATAAAAATAAACAATAAATGAAATGAATTTAAAAATTACAATTAAATTTAAAACATTAAAAAATTGTAAATAAAGACTAAGATAAATAAAAAAGTTACTTTCCCCCTTTATTTTGGATCTGAGCTTTTATCAACTGAGCCCTTTCTTCCATTTTTAAAAGGATGGGTGTCCTGGAGGTAATGCTCCTCTGATCTCTGTCTCCCCATGCATTTCCATTGTCTTGTTTGTTATTTACAGGAATGCTGTTTTGCAAATTTTGAGGAGGACAATATTTATGGTTTACTGAGACATATGAAAAATATCAATTCTTCTATTCAGAGACATGATACCCTGGTTTAAATGCTGGTCCTTTATTCTTTTATTTATAAAAAATATTATTTTATAATTCTATAAGCATTTATTCTTCTACAGAAAGATACATGTATATACTAACTATGAAAATCATACAATCAAAAATTCAAGGAAAAAATTTAAACATTAACTATATTATCAAGATACAGCACTTCAAACATAACTTGGTAATGATGTAGGCAAAGATTGATCTTGTGGAAGAGAGCACAAGACAAAAGATAGAACAGGGAGAGTTTAGCGTGTGATAAAAGTGATAACAAATACATCGCTTGCACCAAAAAGCTACCCACACAAACCAAAAAAGTCCTACAAAAAAATCAAATAAAGTCTACTGAAAGAATTTAAAAATCTGCTTATATAGAAGTTTTTAAATAGGATCTTATGGTCCCATATGCAATAATGCTTATTAGGTATTTTAAATTGTGTACTTCTGAATCCATTAATATTTAAACATATAAAATTAAATGAAGATATACTTTTTGAGGAAAAGAAGGTGATAGCATATAGTTGACTCTACTGTAAGTAAAACATGTGTGTTTTTGTCTGTGTAGTGGATTCAGTTTGCCTAGGAAGGCAGCTCAGACCTTGAATGACTAGTACTAGATATGTACCCCCATTGGCCTTTTTTGAATTTTCTTCTGTACATTTTATGTGTGTCCTGACATTTTTATGTATTGTGTAGAATCTAAACAAAAACACTAAAATTACCTTCATTTTAATGGTAAAGGGTATATACATACTTTGTGATTTATATTTTAGAAAATATTTGAGAATAATTTAAGGATGACAAGGTTTAATACGTGTCTATATGTATGTATGCATATATTCTAAGACATTAAGTATTTTGCAAAGATATATAATATTTCTTTTTTCTCTCATGCCTTTATGTTGCTGAATATATGGTATTTCTTATGCCAGTTATTTCCAGTTATTTTCTCTCAGTTCTGTGTGTGTTTGGTTAAGGTTGAGCTGACCTCCTGTATCTGACCTGATCTGTCTGGAACTGAATGACCCCATTAAGACATCTGCTGTGTTAATAAGAAGCTGGGTCCTGATCCCCACAGTGAAGCTTGATCCTTTCAATATTTAGTTAATCCCAGAAATGCTACATGGCATTATTATGTAGATATGGGTACTTCTCATAAGTAACTGTTTATGACAATATCGCTCCAGGTTTAGATCATTGGTCCTTCCAAGAACTTTTGGAGGCTCATGGGTTGAGCACCAAATAGACAATTTCTTAGCACAAATGATGCAACTGAACTCTCTAATTTTAAAGAACAGACTGAATGGAGAAAGTGCGAGAAAGGGAGAGTTGGTATGTTCAAGGGGAGTTTAAGTACAGTGTTTGGAGCCTTGGTTCTTTGCGTTATGCAATGATGCCAGAGACATCTTGGATTAGGTTGCGATTATTGTGTTATGCATGACAGAATTTTTAGTGTAGGTATGATTTAATTACAAGAAACAAAGATGCTTAATCATTTTCTTCTGTTAGTCTTAAAAATTTAAGTACCAAAACAATGCATTTTTGCATTGTATATGTTGGAATGCTTGATTTTAAAAATTGCTGTTTGAATGTCTAGCTTAAAATTCATTTAAAAAAAAGACAATAGTCAAATAAAATTTGACTTGAGATTGAGAGAACTTCCAATAATTTTTAAGCAAGTTCTGTGCTGACTGGTTTTATGTCAACTTGACACAGGATACAGTCACTTGACAAAAGGGAATCTCAGTTAAAATAATTACTCAAGATCAGGCTGTAGGCAAGCCTGTAGCCTTTTTTCTTAATTTAATTAGTGATTGATAGGAGAGTGTGAAGTCCAATGTGGGTGGTGCCGCCCCTGGGCTAGTGATCCTAGGTTCTATAAGAAAGCAGATTAATTAAGCCATGAGGAGCAAGACAAAAAGCAATACTCCTCTTCAGTCTCTACATCAGCTCCTGCCTCCAGGTTCCTCCCCTGCTTGAGTTCCTGCCCTCACTGCTTTTAATGATGAACTGTTATATGGAACTATGAGTAAAGTAAACCCTTTCCTTCCAAAGTTGCTTTTGCTCGTGGTGTTTCATTACAGCAATAGTGACCGTAAGATAGGCCCTAAACATGCTTTAGCATTTTGTACTTATGTGGAATGTGTTGTCATTGATAATTATCAAATGAAATTATCAGTTAATTGAAAAACCTTGCAGATACTTAGAATTTTGCTCTATCAAATATGCAGCCAAGATTAATTTTTTTGTAAAAATAAACAATAATATCTACCTCATTAGTATGCAAATTTCCTTTATATTTAATAAATGGAATATATATATATATATAAAACTAGCATCAAGGTGATATCTAAACTAATTATTCCTTTCATGGTGAACATATTTTTCTAGTACCTCTTACTTTACATGCTTGTTTTAAAGTTATCTATGATTTATTGTTAGCAATTGTTTGATTTGTGTCTTTAATTTATATACTATATGTTGAATAATACAGAAATATTTTTCTGACAGCCTAGTGTGGTGGTTTATGCCCTTTAATCGCTGTACTCAGAGGCAGAGATAGGCAGATCTCTATGAATACAAGGTCAGTCTGGTCTATATACTGAGTTTCAGACCAGCCAGGGTTACATGGTGTGAACCTGTCTCACTAAAACAAACAACACACACAGACACCAAACAAACAAAAAAACAAGACCATTTCTTAGCACAAAAGGAGTCACAACTGGAAAAAGTTTAAGAAACTCCACCGTGTTGTGTGGTCACAGGAACACAAGCATGTTGAGAGTTTAATGGAGAAAACATGACAGAGATCGAACAAAGCTCTTCAGGGAGACTTATAGCTCGCTGTGCATTTTTCTGCTCAAACTTCTAAAGTTTGACTCCCAGTGAGGTTCACCTCTAAGTTGTGTGACAAGTTGCTTATTCAGTTCCACAGCAATGATAGTGCTCATTGGAGATTAACTTCTGTCTCTCAGAGTGTGGTGTTTAGACAGTGTCAGAACCACTTTGGAACTAGTTAAAAATGTGTATTGGTGAGGACGGGTGACTAAGATTTATTGAATTAGAAGTTGAGTCAGGGGCCCAAAAATCTGAGGCTTAATGAGACTATCACTTGGCTGTGTTATATGTTAAAGTTTCACAAGCTTTGGATTAATTTACATATTTAGATCTTTTCAAAATGGAGAGGAAAAGCGAGCAATTTTAGGCTGGCCAAATTCAGCCCAGGCCTGAAAGCTAGCCAAGCTCTCTGTTGATGCACGAGTGCCAGGGATCTACTTGTGAGGACAGGGCAAGTAGACGGAGACATCTTCATGCATGAGGCAAGCTTGCTTTGAATGTTTCTGTTCAAACTATTAGGCCTATCATCACACCAGCTTGGTATCTGAATTGTCTTATTCCTTGTATGGTGAACTTATTTAATTATTTTGGTTTTTGGAGACAGGGTTTCTCTGTCCTGTAACTCATTCTGTAGATCAGACTGGCATTGAACTCAGAGATCTACCTACCTCTGCCTCCAAAGTTCTGGGAATAAAGACATGCGCCATGATTGCCTGACTGTAAACATATCTTTTACATCTGCTACTTTACATGTTTACTTGAATAATGAAAGAAAAAAGAAAGAGTGAAATAAATATAAAAGGGTGGTCTCAATACTTAACCACACAAACAACAGATTTCCCATCTTTGAAGTCATAATCAAATAAAATCCATATTCTTTATGGCCTTCCTACTTTGTTATAATCATGACAGGAGAAAATATGAATAAGAACTAGTTAAAAAAATTATAATTAAGAACTAGCAAACACATTAACTCAGAGAAAGCCGAGAAACAAATTTCTCACTTCTCAAGGGAAGAAAAGATACAGAATATTCTTTCAGTAACATTATTATACGAAAATATTATTAGCACATTAGGAGTCTTACTGTTTTCATTTTATGCTGAAATAAAAAAGAAAAACACGCGTTAACCTACCATCGATTCAATCCTTTCGCTCAAATGCCTGTGCTCTTGCGTAGCCGGGGAATTTAGTGCCTCAGTGTATTCAACATTTAGGATTTGAAAGCTGCTATGGTAGAAGTAGGCTTTCTTGTCTGGAGGAGAAAGGAAGGCAGGATTACTCTAGTGCTGCTAAGGAGATTAACTTTTAGAGAAAGAAAAGTCCATACTTAGTATAAATGTAGCAGGATTATTTTCTTTTGAGTTTTCAAAAGACGGGCAAAGCTAAGATTGTTGAGGTAAAAGAAGTAGGCCTAGCATTAATTGGATCTTTTAAAGTTGTACAGAGTACTATGATTTTTGTTAATATTACATCTAAGTAATATTTTGTTTTACTCACTTAGTAAGCATTGATATAAATTTATGATATGTGATTGTTCATTGGTAAAACACCAATTCGAGTAAGGGAATAGCTTTAAATTGTCAAATATTCTTTTTTAGAAATTAGTTATTTTATGTGTGTGTGGTAAATGTGTGTATGCCCTTATGTGCTTGTGTATGTACGTGTGTGTGTGTGTGTGTGTGTGTGTGTACAGATTAGACCTAAGTGTTTTGTTTTTTATCGGACTTAGGTTTTTGACACAGTGTCTGGAATTCAACACTCCAGTTAGACTATTTTCTGGAAAACCCCATGATGTGCCTGTCTGTGCCCACTCCCGTTATACACCCATGAATCTTGCCTAGAATTTACAGGTGAGCTTGGATAACTGGTCCTACATACAATGAACAATCTCCCCAAGCCTTTAAACAATAGTTTTGTAGATGGTTTATTGATCTGACAGCTTTCCTGGAATAAGAGAAACTTTCTCACAGAATGTCTAGTCCGGCTGCATATAGTGAGGTATTTTCATCAAGAGAGTCTTCTGAAAAAAACATTCAGTGCAAAGATGTCAAGAATCCTTAAAATACACATATGTAACTAAGAGAATTATGAATATGGACCTAACTTAACAGAACCTCTTGGGAAAAATTTCTCCTTTCCTATAATCATACACATAACTCATAGAGAAATAACTAGAATAAGGAAGAACTAATAACCCTAGGGGTAAAGTAGTTCATTTAAATCAGGGTGGAGCAGGTCATTTGTATTTCATACATGATCACGAGGTTCTGACTGGAATATGATTGCCTGGGTATCTCTTTTTCTTATATATGTTTGAGAATGTGGTGTCCTGTGACATTCGTTAATTTAATATGAAGCTCAATGATAACTTCTTTTTTTGCATCTATAATTTATTTGATGACTAATTTCATGTAATTTGACAGTAAGATGTTGAGAAAAATTCTACTTAGTTATAGCCTTTGCATCTGATCATCTGGAATGATTATTCCTCATTACTAGTTCTCTTTAGCATTGATAATTTTATTTTTAATCATTTTTGACTTTTTATAATAGGACATATCATGAATTGTGCCATTTCCTTTTCTATTCATATCCATACATATTTATTTGCACACCATATATGAGGGTTAACATAATTATTTCTAAAATAAACTCAAAATGTATTTTAAGGGAAAGTTATGTTATCTAACAATATGTTTTGTGTATTAAAACTCAAGAAATAATATTAACCCTCATATTATTTATGTTATTACATAATTGCCATACATTATGGTACATGATATAATTAATTTTGTATATTTAGATTTCCGAAATAATGATTACCAGGATTTTAAAGAAACCTATACATATATTTTGTATATTACTTTTTCTTGTACTAATGATATAGCATAAACTATTTTAAAGGCTAACTAATACTAAAATCATCCATCTTACTTAAATTTAGCATTGCAGCTTTGTATTTCTGAGTATCAGGTAAACTTATCTACTGATCACAGTAGCAGTTCAGCATTTGAGACTTTCAGGAGACAGCATGGCTTAGCAAACACTTAGGCACATCTGAATTTCATGCGGTGAAACTCAAGGTTGTTTGCAGTATTTTGCTTTCATGATCTTATCAGGCTATTAAATGAAAAAGACAGGAGAGGCAGGGAGGGGAGCAGAGAAAAATGTAGAGCTCAATAAAAATCAATAAAAAAAGAAAAAAACAAAGCAAAGCTATTCAATGTTAGTGGGAAAGAAGTAGCGAGTGATTTTATTCTTCGATCTAGAATGTTTCTCATCTGTGCAACAATGTTTGTTATATTAAAATGGTAGGCTTTACTTGGGGTCTCGTCCTTCTTTCCCCTTGGTCCGTTGAGCACTGGACCACAAGGGCAAAGGAAGCAGGAATAGCAAGCAGGTCCTTGTCCACCCTGTGGTATGAAGGACATAGCCTTCCGGAGACTGCTTCAGTGTTACAGCTCAGCATATAGCTATCATACGGTTCCTTATGCGGCATCAGGGTCCTATAGAAAACTCCTAGACTGATGTCAACATACCCTATGGGCAGCAGGGGGAAAGACTCTGCAGGGAACTGTGTCAAGGGTCACACTAGAGATAAATCAGGCATCTCCAAAGAAGGTCAGGTAGAGAGCAGGAAGCCTCCTTCCTGGGAGGGAGTGGGAGGGAGCCCTTCGGTTCCCTAGCTTGGAGAGAGCTGCCAGACCATGGCAGACTGCAACCTCTGACCAGCAGGGCCACCCAACTTTTGGTTAGTTTGAAGTTTTTGAGGGGGTGTTTCATGCATTCCAGGATGGCCTTATAGTCTTGACATAGCCACAGATTACTTTGAACTTCTGGTTCTCCTGTTTCTACCCACCAAGTACTGGGATAGTTTGTATATTTTAAAAAGCCAAAGTATTACTTCCCTTTCCCCCAAAAAGCAATCAAACTAAAATACTCCTTGAGAAGAAATGTTGATATATATGAATATATAAACAATGTTCCTGCGTGTTCAGAAATAGATATAGAGGAAAGACTATGTTTTTAATCTGAGACACATTTAATTATTTAATCTGAAAGGTACTTACCAAAAGCTAAGAAGTGGATAAGGAGACCTACAGTCATGGCCAGGAGCAATACGGTCGTTATGACAACAAAAGCTACTATGAACGGACTGAAGAACCTTGACCGTGGTATCATTGATCTTGGCCTGAGAACAGGAATCAGAGAAAAGAAAGCCACTCAGTTCACATGGAAATGCACACTCCACTGTCCATGGCTGTCTTTCTGAATCTCTTTGCTTGTCCATGAATCTGATAATAGAAGCATAGTTGTAGGAATCCAACCTGAACCCACCGGGATGTTCTTAATACTTTCCTTTCAGTATTTTCTCTCTTTTTTTGGTCATAGAACTGTTTTTGTTTTTGTTTTTGAAGTACTTTGGTAGAATAATAAAGTCATCTGAACTATGGTATAGAATTATTTTGTCTTTTACTACCAGTCAGTGTTCTTTGGGGTTTTTATTTGGTTGTGTTTTGAGAGAGGGTGTTACTATGTCTGGCTTGGAGCTGCCTGTGTAGACCAAGTTGGACCGAACACGTAGAAATCCACCTGTCACTGCTTCCCGAATGCTGGGAGTAAACATACGAACACAATGCCCAGCCTACAATTGTTGTGCTTTTAAGATCAACCACTGAAGATTCTATAATATTGCAAGGCCTTCTAAGCTCCCAAACCTGGTGCTATCACAGCAATCCATCTTAACTAGGGGCATCACCAGGGTGTGCTGAGGAGAGACCACATTGAATGTGAAGGATGAAAGAGGAGAAAGGTGGGGCGGGGGGGGGGGTTGGGGATTAGAACAATAACTTCCTTCAAGATGTTACTGCAAGGTGTTACTTCACATTATTGCAAATGACAACATGGGCCAGGAAAGTAGTAGAAGTTGCCATGGTTCTCAACCTTCCTCATACTGCGACCCTTTAATCCAGTTCCTCATGTTGTGGTGATCCCAACCATAAAATTATTCTCGTTGCTGCCTCATAGCTGTAATTTTGTTACTGTTATGAATCATAATGTAAATATGTGATATACAGGGTATGGGATCTCTAACCCTTGTGAAAGTGTCATTCTATCCCCCAAAAGGGTTGAGGACCACTAGATTAGAGCCTCTCCAACAACAGATGATGCAGGTGACTTATTTTTTTTTTTATTTTCAACTTCATAAGCTGCAGTACAGGCCAACCAATTTGTATTAATATACTATCTCATTTTACAGTAGGAATATCACTTAGAACAATTTCATTCACTGTCTTCTTTTCTTCAGTAGAGTCATGGCTGTGGACACTGTCATGGGGAGATCACCAGGGCAGCTCCTTTTTCTGGTAGTCATTGTAATGTTCTGCTCTGTCTCTTTAAGAGACAAGGCATGCCCATTAGCTCCTCCCACCCCCGCTGAGACAGGCTGATCTTCAGCTTCCAGGCTGAGTTCCTTCTTTTTTCCGTCTCCCTCTTGAGGAGGCAGCTTCTGCCTCTCCCCAGTTCTCCCCCTCCACCCTTCTGCCTCTCCCC